GAAAGAGTGACCTCTGACCTGGAGATGAGTGTAGACCTCAGAGTCCTGGCCTGATGATGTTGATCTTCTGTGCTGGTCCATCCTTTTGGCCAGTGGCTGTTTTGTTTCCCCGATGTAAGACTGATCACCCTCCTGACACTGAACAACATACACAATATTACTCTGTTTGTGCCGGGGGACTGGATCTTTGGGATGAACCAGTCTTTAATGTATTTTGGGGTTTAAAAGCCACTGGGACGTTATGTTTAGAAAATAAACGTCTCAGTTTCTCTGATACTCCCTCAACATATGGAATGACCACTGGTCTGGGTTCCTCCTTTTCACCTGATGGCTGACTGGAGTCCTGTTTGGGTTTCTTCTCTGCTTTCAGGAAGACCCAGTTAGGATATCCACATTGCTCTAGAGTAGGGATGGGGCCGATCCGATCCAGTATCCGTATCGGCCTCTGATACCAGCATAATTTACGTATTGGATTTTTTTGATCCACGTGCCGACTTTCTGATCCATGATGCACGTCTGTGGTTGTGCTGCAAGTTGGCTTCAAACTATGGACTGGATTTCCTGAACGGCGGCGTGTCTCATGAACCCAGAGTAATAAGACCCGCTCCACATTCAGGAAATCCAGTTCATAGTTTGCAGCAGCTACAACGTGAGGACTGAGCTAGCAGCACTGTGGCTAACAGCTAACACACTTTTCATCTAAACATGTCGCTGTGTGGAAGTATTTTACACTAAACACCACAAAACAAGACAGCAACGTGCACTGTCTGCAGAGCCACAGTGCCACATTAAACCACGTTAAAGTTAGTTTTACGATGGACATTCGAGCTCCGGGGCTTCAGCGGGGCGCTGCTCTTTGCTCAACCCACAACAGGCGACTCGACCCCGGCCAGCCACGTCCACTCTGCCCCGCTCAGTCTGCCCGTCTCTGAGGAGGGACAGACTGAGCAGGGCTGACCCAGATCAGACTGCCTGCTTCGGACTGAACAAGAAGAAGACGTCGCTGAAACCACGGAGCTCTAATGTTTACAGAGAAGTTGATAAACTTCATCATAATTAATGACCAACCACTATCAGTTGTAGAAAACGAAGGATTTCACAGTTTGATACTTGCAGCCAAGATCTAGTTCAAGATCTAGTTTACCCTGCAGGAGATATTTATCAGTACAACAGGAGACAATCATAAAAAACATTATTTGAAAATTATATTAAAAACAAAAACAGCTACATTATAAAGTGATGTAAAATACTAAAAACAGGAACATGTCTGTTGGTTTATGCCATGAACTTAGCAGATGTTTGAAGACATTTAACAGCACTAACCCTGTCAGAAAAACAAAGAGTCACTAATCTGGGAGTGATAATGGACCCTTCCCTGAAACTTAACAATCATGTAAACATGATTGTTAAATCATGCTTCTTCCAACTGAGGCGGCTGTCTAAACTGAAGCCCATATTGTCCAAAAAGAACCTGGAGACAGTAATACATGCATTCATTACATCTAGGCTTGATTACTGCAATTC